ACAAAAATGGAAAAGAAGGAACCAATAAAGTTATTTATGCTCTGATGTTTAATGAAGTAGCCATAAGAAATCGTAGAGGTGAAAAGACATTTCTTGGACATTTCTTATTGGTGCAGATACAGAAGACAATACAACTCCTCTTGTCTGCGATGTATTGGTGTTTATGGTTGTTTCTCTAAACAGCAGCTGAAGATGCTTATCGGCTATATTCTTATTGATAGCATGCCGAGAAAATAATAAGCAAACTTATTGATAATTTGCCTACAAAAAGTCTAAGATGTTGAGATTACAACTGTAGCACTTGTTTGTGATGGTCCAAGACGTCACTTCTCGATATTGGCTGAACTGGGCATGTCGCCAGAAAACTGACAAGCGAGGTTTTACACCCCACCAATGAAAATTGCATAGTTTATTTCATACTTGATATATATTAAAGCTCATTCAAAATACTTTTTGCAGATAAGAAAAATTCACAAATTTTACAGTTGGTAAATATATTAAATGGCAGTTCATTACTGATTTTCGCAAACTGAAAGAAGAACGAGGCTTGCATCTAAGAAATAAATTAAGATAAATGTACACTCAATGGCAGAAACACAATATGAAACTTAACTTAGCAGCAAAACTTTAAGTTCAAGTATGGAAAATGCCATAGAACCTTATAAAAAAAACAACTTAAGCCTATTGTTCGATAGTTCACAGCTGCATATAAAATACTGATTATGCGCCATGAAATAAAAGCGGCATGAAACTAAACTGTCCATAATGATACATCAGTTTTACATGTCACGAAAAATTACATGACACTTCCTAGTGGTTCTGTAGATATGTGTGGTACGTAGGTATGATACTGACGTACGTAACCCTATACAAGATGGCCATGTTTACGAAGATGCACCAAATTGAACCTTTCCACCTATAAGGAAGAAGCTTTAGGATATATGGGTGGTTACGTAGTGAAAATGGCACAAAAAGAATGCACGGTATAGATTGTTTGGAGGCCTCAAAGATGGTATGGTAAAAGCATCAGCGAGTAATCAAAGTATATCAGGCAACAGAAAAATGTTCTGAGAGATTCTTGAAGTCATCAAATGGTGAACTTCCTCAAGCAAATACAATTAGCCTTGGAATATAGATTGCTGTTTTGAAAGAAGTAGTTTTGAATTGAGGTTTCTCATGTTCAGATGAGCACATGTTTGATTGTACACCAGAAAATGACGATTTTTTTACAGTTTTATAAAGTGCTTAATTGTGCTATATAAAAATGCGAATGTATCACCCTGCCAAATAACAATCTGCAGAGGAAAATGTAAGAAAAAGCATTCTAAGTCAGTTTTATTTAAACATCGGTAACTGCAAATTATATGGTGTACAAAATTCTTATAAACATACAAAGTATATAGAGTGCTGCTTTAAAAACTTTCAAATGTGTATATCATATTTATCGACTAATTATCTTATAATATGTATAATAAATGTCAAAAATGCATATAAATATTTAACTTAATTTAGTAGTACACGCACTTTGTTAGCCTACACTCTTATTCTGTACTGATAAACAGCGAACTACAACACTTAATAAGTTTTATACTAGTTCATTAATAATTACAATTTTTATACCGTACGTTCTAATTTACCACAGACTTTCATACGCTTCAGCCGGAACTTGTTACTTTATTATAATAGAGCAGACTACAGCAAAATGAATTTAGACTAACAGAATGTTGTCAGCTACGACTTCCTTTATTTTTATAATGCCTATTCTATAAAGAAGTATTTTCAGTTTGTATAGCCGTTTTCTCTCCATAAATAATAAATAAACTAACAAATAAATAAATTAAAATGTACATAGTGAAGATAAAAGAAATACCGTACAAATTGAAATCACCAAAACTGCAAGGGTGAAATGATTACAATGCACTCATCCATCACCTAGATATGTCGACAATTTAGGGAGCAACGATACATCTACCGTGTGTTGTCAAGACTGAATAAAGTGATACTGTCCAATGCGCATTCCAGTTCAACATAGAGATGAGTGGTTTTATGATGAGGTCGAATAGATGCTTAATTCACTTTGAGCATATTGCATTTGCAACCTGACTTTAAACATAAGAAGTGAGATGGTGTGCCAGTTAAGTAGTAAAGGGTCCATTTTATTATACTGCTGGTTTGTAACGGTGGTAAGATGGGACAACTTTTTTCTTGTCCCATTGTAACAACTGTATCATTCAAGATGACGAACACCAATATATTTTGCACAAACATTTCCTATATAGAATTTATTATATACGTACACCTTGGTGTCTTCCATCGTATATAATTTCTTTTTGTCTATAGTTACAATCTCTGAAATCATAACTTTTCTCAATAAACTTAATGGCTTAATTTATACTAATTCGATTATTTTTGAACATAATATTGTCTTCAAACATTTCTGACTGAAATAATTTTCCTGAAATTTATCCTTGTATTTTTTACCTAGTTTTAGTTTTTGCTTTTGGGTTTGTATGTAACATTACATTTAGTTTTGTTTACTTTGAATGAATGCTGAATTTACTTAGTTTTGCATTATTTTTAAATCTCTACCATTCTTTTCCATTTTATTTAATGTTTTCACATTTGTCAGTTGGAGTCCTTATATTAATAGTTTTTCATCCGAGTGAGTGTCTTAGTATCATTTGAGAAGATGGCTGTGGAAACCAAGATCAAGACACGCAGTAGTATGTCTTTCAGCCACATTTCAATAATAAACGGACAGCACGCAATCCACTTGTTTTAAAATAATATTTTCAAAACAAGTCAAACATAAGTACAAAAATTTGTTACACTAATGGTCATCACAGTTGTATCCAAAGCTTTAAGTAATTTTTCTCTTTTTCGTCAAAGTCCATACAGGCAGGTTCAATTACTTTAGAACATCTTTTTGGTATGAGAAAAAACATTAAAAAGTATGTGTTGTCATGCCATGTTTGTCAAATCACTAAATTTGATCAGTAGCGGCCAGCTGGATTTATACAAAGCACAAAACTAATGAAACCTGGAGAGATAATAGGATTAGACATCATGGGACGTTATTCTAATTCTACGACAATAAATAGTTATTCGTTGGTTGTGACAGATTATTTCAGCAAATAGGTTGAATTATATCCTCTCAAACAAATAACCATGAAGGTGATTGTCAATAAAGTAATTAATGAGAGATATGGATATTGTTTGTTTATTTGTAGTTAATCGCAAAGCTACACAAAGGGCTATCTGTGCTCTGCCCACCACGGGTATCGAAACCCGTTTCTAGCGTTGTAAGTCTGCAGACATGCCGCTGTGCCACTGGGGGGGGGGGGGGGAGGGGAAAGCGAGAGAGAGAGAATCACGAAATAGTTATTGTTGTTTGTCACTTGATACTGAAAGGTACTGTTTGTAATTATTGTATTTTTTTTTAATTATGTTTTTTTTTTCTGGTTCTATCATTTCTGATTTATTAACATTAGTATGAACTCTTGGCCAGACACATGTCTATTAACTGTGTTGAATTTCTTGCTAAGTGTTGTTATTATAAATAAATTGTGTTTTTGTCGTTGAACTCTGATTGTAGATGCGTGATTATTTTAGACCGTTACATTACTAGTGTAGATTTCTCCCGTTGATTATGTGATTGTTTGTTACGTTCTGTGAATAGTTAGACTAACTTGCGGGTTCGCCAGGTCTTGTGAATTATAATAAAATTAATTGAAATACAATAATAACAATAAAAAACTTGTGTTAATTGTTATAAATTCTTACCTAAAAATCTGAACTGTAAGATAGCTTAAATAGAATTGATATATATATATATATATCACCTAGACTAGTGTTTTTCAACCTTTTCTAATATCATTCACCCATATAAGTTTTCACGGTAGCTCACTAACCCCAGTTCGAAAAAAGAGAAAGTACTAAATTAAAATGCAAAATTCTTTATGATTTAAATGTACATCATACTAGAATGAATACAACATAAAATAAATGTATTTATCAAAATTCAACTACAATAAATGACTTTTTTGCTCTTGAATTTGTTGTATAATTGATAATACACCCATTTGAGGAGCACTGGCCTAGATCACTACCATGTCTGTCCTATTCCAGCCTGCTTGATGAGTCCTTGTATCGGAGGAATAGCTTTATCAGCAGTTGTAGTGTTATTGACATATTATAACGTATTCTTCTTTGCTTTTACTCATGATTTTTTTATAATTTAAAATCAGTCCTACTATTCAACATTTAGTTCAGTCATATGATTAAAAGAATAACATTTTCGACTCCGCAACACAATTGCTTGGATAGGATTTGCCTTTTCTAGCATTGCACTCGAAAACGAAAAACAAAGTGCTTGTTTATTGAATTTTGCGAAAAGATATTCAAGGCTATCTGCGCTAGCCATTCCTAATTTTGTAGTAACAGAGGGAAGGCAGCTAGTCAACGCCACCCTTGTACCAGCAAATAGTTGGATTGACCGTCACATTACAACACCTCCACGGCTGAAAAGGCGAGGATATTCAGTGATTAAATTCGAATCCGCAGATTGCGAGTCGAGTATCCAAACCGCCATGACGGCAAAAAGTCAAATCTTTGAACCGATGGTTTACGTTTTATTATTTATCCGAATATCAAAGTAAGGGCACTGATGTCAGTCATAACAGAAACGAAGACGTTTCGTTTGAAATTTGATATCCTGCAATTTGCAAAAGGGTTATTCTTGTAGTATTACGTTCATAGTATATAAATAATAGTTAATTTGTACTGCAAGTAAGGTTGTTAGTATTAACTTCACTGTGTTCTATGACCTACGTGTGTTTATATTAAAACGTTTAGAGTGTTTAATGTTTTGTTCAGTAGACAATTTGTGCTATTTAATATTCACTGCCAATTTAGGTATTTTGAAATAATTTATAAATTTATAACAATATTCAGAGGTCAGTGCAGTACGTAGCCTAGTAATGTTAATAGTAGGTAGCATGGAATAACTAAAGAAGTAGAAAGTGAGCGCCATTTTTAACGAGAAAAACCGGAGCTCTAAAATATAGCATTTTCGTATCTCAGCAAAAGTAAGTAAAAATGTATGAGTAAGAATTTGATTTATAATGTGAACAATTTCAATAACTTTAACTATTAATTTTAAAATTTGTTGTTAAAAGAAGTGGAGCTGAACTCTACCACAAAAATTGGCCTGGTAGTAAATAAAAAGAGCTACAATTTATTCTGTTGATTGATGGAACGGCGTCATAGTATTAACCTACTAAGACTTAAATTCGATGACGAGGAACCCACTTTGAGACTAAGACTTACTACAATCATTAATGTACTGAACATTACGTAAGAAGCGGAACGCTTGATAAATTAATTCCGAAAATAGCATTCAGAACGAACATAGAAACATCATATTACTTTACTTGATTGATCTTCGTAAGTACTATAAGATATATATATATTTTATCTAAACTTATTCGTATTTGAAAGTATATGTTTCTCTGTTTTATAGTTGTGTAACACTAACACTATAACGGTTTAAGTTGGTTGTTTTCAGTTAATACAATATTGAGGACAATAGGAGTGCTAATGCACGAGGCTGATAGGAAAATGATAAGTAAGTTCAATCTCAATGCTAAGGCATGATTAGCGATTAGCCGGCACATAAGCGTTTAGCCTATCTCTGTAAGAAAGACTGATAATCATATGTAGTCTTGAATACTAGTCGTCAGTTTACATTTCAACATGAAACCAATTGCAACATAATTTTTTTTTTTGCAAGAATAATGTAAAACTATATATCATGAACAACATATATATCCAAAGTTTAGAAAAATCCAAGTAGGGGAAATTGCAAAAAAAAAAAGTTTTTAAAAAGTAGATTTTGCCATTTTATAAGTGGTACATATAAGCCACCGTATAATATATGCTTTTCTCAGAAATTTGTTAGTGACCAGTGATACACACTGTTGAAGTAGTGAGAATAAAATAAACTGGACATGGTAAGTTTCTTGCATTGTATTATTTATTATATGTGCAAAACGCATATTCTAGTTGACTTATAATGCTAAAACGTCCGTAAATTATGCAAACAGACGATGAATCAGACTGTATCATGCGTTTTCTCGGCGGCAGATAGGCCTTGTGAGCTTTACCCTAAATACAAAAATACAATGCGTTTTCGCGGATGGCAAACATGTAAAAATAATGCGTATTAGTATGTATAAAGTGATGGAAAGTTATTGTTTTTTTTTATAAATAACAATACATTTGTAATATAAGCTTCATTATAATGTCTTACAAAAGAAATTAAAAAAAATCAGTGGCATGAGTATGGAAGTCTATTCGTGCTATAATATGAAAAAAATCATAAAAATTACAAAAAACATATAGAACAACAGCATTTTGCTCACGTTGTTATTATTCTTGTGTGTCCTTATGTTTAACAATTTATTTTATGAATTTTGTGTTACCACATATATATAAACAGTCGTATTTGTAGATGGAAACCGCGGATATAAAACGTGCTAATATATGTAGCGAGTCTAGAGAATAGGTCTACATCCACTTATTGTATGAGTGTTATTGTTGTTGATAACAGTCAATAAGGTACGTAACTATAAGGCAAACACTTATTCAATGCTTGTTTGTAAAATAATTTAAGAAATTAACACTACTTTTAATTAGAAACTAACACCCTGGAGGTATTTCATAAGAACTCAGTAGATAATCTATGTATTCAAACTGTTTTATGTCTTTTTTATTTTATGTTTTAAATCCAATAGTTATAAGGTTACTTTAATGTATTTACAGATGGAAATATCGAACTTTATTTGTAAGGGAAGTTTACAGAATGAAAAAGCTATTGTGCAGTTACGACTGAAAGGGTCTGCCGGTATAAACATTGCAAGCACTAAACGTGGTGATAACATGCTCACTATTCCAGGGCAATATATTCACACAGAATGTCGTCAAAATTACTGTAATCCAAATTTCATTAAACGTGATAGTAAAACTTACATCTTCACATATTCCTACATGTAAATTGCGTTTACTAAGATCTGGTAATGAGCAGTTTTGCTTTAAAGAACAATACTTGTTTTGTGGCCAAGCTGCAAAATTATCTGGAAAAAAGCTAGGATTAGATGTGTTTCCTGTCAGAACTATAGACTTACTTCCAAAATAGTATAACCAAAGTATGTATTGAACGTGCTAATAGGTGTGCTGATGAGGTCCAAGGACGAGTGGAAAGTGTAAGTGACTTGCCCGCAGCAGATGCTATATATCATCAGTCCTGTAGTGTCAAATGTAGGACTTAGAAGTGTATTCCGAAGGTATTTTCAACAGAACAACAGACACAAGGGACTACAAAGACACAAACGTACTCCTGTCTTTTCTACCAAAAAGAAATCCGTTTATCCAAGACCCTTCATTACGCAATATTGAAACTGGTGTGGCGTCTGATTCATTTGTAAATGTTTACAACACAAAAGAAATCGGATCGAAAGTCTTACAATAAATGGTTGGTAAAAATGTGATGGAGTATCCTTTCAAAAGATCCCAGCAAGCAGTGACACTTACTACAAAGCCTGTAGTAAAATTAGATGGCGAGTCGATTCAGGTTAACCCCCAGCTACTTTTTCAACGTCTTACAACAGCTGCAACTAGATCGGAAGAAGACATGTCACACATATTTGAATATGAACTTTGTAGTATTCCATCTGCACTGTTTGATCCATCAGATTTTCCAAGGCAACTACAAAAACCAGCATTATCTGATGCGATTTGGGCTTTAGGAGACTGTGGAAGACAGGCGTCTATTACTGAGAATGTTCAACATGTGTTAGATGGAGGATCATTATTACAGCACATGCCATGACAACAAGGCACAGATTTCGCAGATATTTGTAATGTGTACGAAGATTATATATCTAAAAAGTATTTGGATCCAGTAATTGTGTTTGATGGCTACTAGTTAGGACCATCAACAAAAGATGTAGCCTATATGCGGCGAGTGCATGGAGTTCGAATGTTAACTTCAAAGATAAAACACCATTCAAAAGAAAAAAAGAACACTTCTTACGAACTCTGAAAACAAACAACGTTTTATTTACATGCTCGGGCATCGACTTGAAAATAGGAAATAGAAAGTTGTATATAAAAGTAGTTTCTTTTAATAGTTGAGACTGCAGTTGCTTGTGTAGAAACTAATGAAACAATGGTGATCGGGTCAAGACTGTTGTTGCTTGTGCAGAAACTCGTGAAACAATGGTGATCGGAGAAGACACTTATCTTCTCATATTGCTATGCTATCACGCTAATACTCAGAACTGTAATATATTTTTCAAGTCAGAAGAGAAACAGACTACGTACAAAGGGGTGAGGATTTGGGACATTCGACAAACGAAGATGATACTTGGAGCAAACACCTGTCACTATATGCCGTTCGTTCATGCTTTGACGGGTTGCGACACAACATCTCGCATTTATGGGATTGGAAAAGGGAGCAGCACTTAAAAAACTAGGATATGGCCAACATTTAAGGGAGAGTGCAGAAGTGTTTTGCAATCAGAGTAAAACAAGAGATGAAATACAAAAAGCTGGAGAACAAGCACTTATATGGCGGAGTTCTAATTGAGGGATTTGATTTATTACGCTTCAGACATTTTGCACGAAAAGTAGTTTCAAGCACAACACGTACAGGTACATACATTTCCTCGTACATCCGCAGCCGCATAATACCACAGCATGAGGGTCTATTTTCAAGTACAAACATGGATCGACTCAAATCAAAAAATGTTACCACAAGAGTGGGGATGGTCAGTTGTAGGCAATAGCTTATTACCAGTTAAGACACATTTACCACGAGCTCCAGAAAGCCTATTAAAAATTATAAAATGCAACTGTAAAGCGAATTGTGACACTAAACATTGTACATATAGGAAGCATGGACTTGAGTGTTCTATAGGCTGTGGAGAATGTAGGGGTGTTAACTGTACAAATGTAACACAATTGACAGAATCTGACATAAATGAAGATACATAGAAGACACAACATAAAGATGACAATGTGCCAACTTCAAGATAGGATCATCCGGTTGTAAAGGAAATATATAACGAATTTAATCCTATTTTAAAATGAATGTGCAATATATTTTAATAACGCCGCAAAGTCAACATAACTGGTTCTGGTTTGTGTATTAATTCAAGTAATACAACGTTGGTGAATAGATATAGCAAATGTTTATAGAAAGATGTGTGTGTTAAGTCATTTTGTATACTCATTTTCTAGATGTGGCTGTCATTTAAAAGAATATTGTTATAGATTTTCTTTTGATAGGTGGGGTAATACATTTAAGTTAAAGAGGTGAATAATCGTTAATTTGGGCTTCAGTTAAAACGCATTTAATTAAGTTCATCTTATTAACTATTATATATATTATCTGGTTGTTTATTTTTGTTCATATATCAAGGAAAAGAGTGTATAATGAGAGTATATGATTGCATATATCAAATCAAGTTGTTCTATTTTCATCAGATATGTTAATAAGGAAAATGAAAATTTGATGCATTTCCCCCGTTTAGATTTTTCTAGACTTTCTTGTGTAACTTTGCAATACATGTCTCTAACAATAAATCAAAGCATTGTTTCTGTTGCAATTTGTTTGATGTTGAGGTATGTTTTTGCGTAGGCTGACTGGACTATACAGCGAAAAATTAAATTTGTTAGTTTCTCAAATCAAGCCAAACATTTAAAAATACCATTTAATGCTATTTCATGTGAATTAAAGCATGACACGACAGAAAGAGACAATTAAGCTGTAACTGAACACTAAATGTCATGTTAAACTAATCTGTCGATATTTGAAGCTGCTTCCACTTATTATTGACTTCTTTTGTTACAAATGAAAATACATATCTCAAAAGGGCAGTGAATTCTGTTTCACATGGTATATAACATTTATTCACTGTAACGAATTTATTGTTATGTATTTATTTTTAATATGAACGTTGTTTAGATTAAATTTGTATTTAAAATTTTGCGTAACTTATAGTGTCAGATATGTATTGCGTGTAAC